ACTCTCCGTAGGAAAAGCGTTGGGGTATCAATTCCAATATATATGCCCAACTGGGTTAAGGAAAACCCCAACACTTACTCGGCTCACCCCAACGCCGCTGTGGGGAAGGGGGGCTTGAACCAGTCATTACCTCTGGGCACCGCAGGTGCGGCAGAATATGCGGAGGTAGGCGCAACAACCGGAACAACAGCGGGAGCGACCACAGGAGTGACAATCCGGGCCTTAATTAACTCCGAGGATGTTAGGTGCGCTGTGCGTGCAAGCAGCGTCTCGCAACGCCTGAGCGAAACTGATCCAACAAGAGATCTTGCTGATCATGTCTGGCAACCAACATATGGGAGCGAGGGCTTACCCTGCACAGTCAGGATTCATGGCCCATTTCGTTGTAGTGTCATGGGAGCGAGGAGCCAGACACACAAGGAGGTGCAATTAAAGGTAGGTTTATTATACAAAAAACAAGACCGGTCTATGCAAGTCCAACAGCAAACAGCGGATGACTTGGTTTAGAACAGTAGCCAGGAAGAATGGTCGCCAGAGCCGGGGTCAGAAGCCAGGATGATCGCCAGTAGCCGGGGGTCAGAAGCCAGGAAGGATGGGTCACACAGAGCCGGGGTCAGATGCCAGGAAGGAGTCTTGCCAAAGCTGAGTCGGTATCCAGGAGAGCAATGAGAAACTAAAACAGGAGCTTGCTGCTGTGCAAACAGACAGGACACGAATGCAATGGACAGCTACAAACAGCAGACTTATATGTGATAAGCCACCACCTCACTGGGGGAGGAGCCGCAGAGGGCTGAAAGCATAAAGGATCCAACAATGCTTTGCAGACACCTAAGATGAGAAGCGCTGCGCTTTGTGAATGGCCCGGCGCCTTCTGGGACCTGTCGTGTCCCAGAAGTTGCCGAACCATTCACAAAGCACAGCGCTTCTCACGCATGCGCAGTGGGCACCCGGCTGTCACAGAAGCCTGCGCGAGAAGACTACATCGCTGGACAGAGGAACAGGTAAGGTCCTGCAGGAGAGAAGAGCTGAGCGGCCGGGACCGTTATTCTGACATGGTGGCGGCGGCGGAAATACCGGACCAGCCGCTCCATATTCGCTCCATAAGACGCACTGACATTTCCCCCCTTTTTTTTGGGGGAAAAAAGTGCGTCTTATGGATTGCGAAAAAGACAGTACGTGATTTTGCATTTCTGGGTAGGGGGGACACCGCCATTTGCGGCCACCAATCACCGTTGTCCCGGCTGGTAATTACTTGCCAGCTCCCGGGAAGATCTGATGATTTTATGAAGATCTGCAACGCGGAGGAGGACTGTTTTGTTTACTACCAGTCGTCCTCCCTGTCAGCTCGGGCACACTGCTCTGGATGGCTGTGCACAGCACAACCATCCATAGCAGTGTGATTGCAGTGAAGCACACTGACACTGCCCCCTAGTAAAAAACACTCCCTGCACACAGTTAACCCTTTAATGGCCCCTCATGTTAACCCCTTCCTGCCCAGTGCCATTAGTACAGTCAGTGCTCCTTTCTTTTTTTTTTTATTAGCACTGATCACTGTATTGGTGTCACTGGGGATGTCCGTGACACCAAGTCAGTTGCCCCCAGTGCCAGAATGTCCGTCGCAGTCCCGCTATAAGTTGCTGATCGCTTACCATTACTAGTAAAAAAACAAACAAAAAAAAAACGTATATATACCGGCATTTTTAAACGCTATAACTTTCACATAAACCAATTAATTTACACGTATTGGGATTTTTTTCAGCAAAGACAGAATAACTTTTGGTGTAAATGTATGACGAAATTTGATTTTTTTAAATTTTTTTATTGGACATGTTTAATAGCAAAAAGTTGTTTTTTTTATAGCACAAAAAATTAAAAACACACAGGCGATCAAATACCACCAAAAGAAAGCTCAATTTGTGGATTAAAAAAGTACGTAAATGTCATTTGGGTGCAGCGTTGCATGACCACGCAATTGTCAGTTAAAGTAAACACCGCACCATAACGCAAAAAAATGGCCTGGTCAGGAAGGAAGGGGGGGGGGGGGGTAAATCCTCAGGAGGGCAAAAGGTTAAAAATGAAACAGGCTTAATGGCAACGTAAACTTTTACATTTTTTAACATTTAAGCTGTTTATCTTCTCCTCACCTTCCTGTCTGTCTTCAGCACCGCTTTGAGGAACTAGCAGGGAGGGGAGAGACCTTGCAGTGTGACAAGGACTGATTGGGTGCTCGTCAAGAAAGGGGAGTGTTGGGCTCTTTTAATGTTCAGCAGACATGCATCTTCTGAGCAAGTAAATAATGAGCCGGCCCCAGTGAGGAAGAAAAAAAAAAAACTTTATTCCTTCAGGTTACCCTCGCACATGGATATACTTGGTTGCTCAGTACTTGCTCCGGTGTCCGCCCTGTTCACACCTGGGCATTTTGGGATTGCTGCGATTCTGCATGCATTCTCAAAAATGTACTACAATCTCAAAACGCAGGTTCAGGTGTCATTTTTAATGGCACCTAATACTCTGTGCGATCTTGTTACATGAAAATTGAATCACATGAAGCTTGTTGCCCAAAAAGGCGCAGGAGCTTGTTTTGTTTAACGAGGTTCATGTGATGCAAGTTACTGCGCAAAAATCACTGCAAAACCGCATCACGTTTTAGGCGTTATTGAAAATAATGGCACCTGAACCTGTGTTTTGCAATTGCGGTCAGAATCTCACCAATTCTGCTGCAATCCCAGGTGTGAATGGAACTGTCCTGGTACACACACATGTAATTCTGGATGCCTGTTCAAATGCATGGATTTGCATGACAGGCTATAGCAGTGTTTCCCAACCTTTTTCAGTCAAGGCACCCTTTAAAATTCTGCGAGACCTTAGTGCTGATGGAGAGGGGCAGGGGCAAACAAAGATGCTGTTCAGGCACCCAACGCCTTCCTTATTAACCAATGACATCATTGGTTGTTAGGATGCCGGCGGCTGTTTGTAATGATGTACAATGAAAACCCGTGGCTTTTTGAAACTAAAAGACAGGCTTTACCCTCCCTCTGACTTGTATATATGTTTTGGCCAACTTTTAGGCATTCTGCCAAGGCACCCCTGAAGAAATCTGAAGGCACCATGGTTCAAAAAGTCTGGGCTAGATATTGTGTTCCTATAGAGGTGGTTCACACAGATGCTATCTGCATGCATTGTGTTTTTCAGTGCGGTTACGAAAAGAGTCCTGTGTGAGTTTGTAGCCATGCATTCTAGACTTGCAAGGGATCGTGTAGAGTGGCTTTTGGAGATAAGTGTTCACATAGGATTGCTAATGACAGCCGCTTTGGCACTGCAATCAATGAGAGAGAGAGAGAGAGAGAGAGAGAGAGAGAGATCATACCTGTACTGAAATCACACAAACTGGAATGTTATTCACAAAGAAGCATTGCCATTTCAGCACACATATATGTGAACCCGAGCTAAAGAGGCTGCTTTCCTGCAGCAGGGCTAAATGAAAAAAAAAAAACACATTCCCTCCACCAGGAACTGCATGTCCCAGGCTTTGGGCGATATGATTTGCACATCCCTGTCTCTATTTGAAAATCTATGTAAGCTACAAGTGGCTAAATCCACAAATAAGCTGGTGTTCGTATCTCTGAAAGCTAAGTCAGGAGTAGTCATGAACTGCTTGGTGAATTGTCTCCCTATGGTGGCAAGAGTAGAATTTGACCATTCTATCCTACAGAATACCATTTTAGTTATCTTCACGAGAAGGACCTATGGACTTTAGGCAAATATAACATTCACACATTAAAGAGAAACTAAACTCTGGAAGCTGTGTTAAAAAACAAAGGCATGTGGAGAGTTAGTCACCAGTACTGGCTATGGTCTCCCTGCATTGATTCCCATTATTCACCTACTATGCCTTGTTTTGCCCCATGTTACTGTGTGGTGGTGGTAGTGGTGGCCATCGTCATTTTAAGTGAGGCATAGTGACGTCCCAGAAGTGTTATTGGCAATGATTTCAAAGTTAGACGAGTATAACAAAGTAACAAAGGCTTATTAACTGGTGAATTGGTGGGGGAGGTTGTGCTTTGCCCAGAGACCGGCTTTCAAGAATAGTATTCAATATTTCTGTAGAATACAAATTACCTATTTAAAAGTGTGTGTTTTTTTTTTTTGTCTTGCAGAAAAAGCCACAGATGGGTCACTACGGTCTGAAGACTGGGCCTTAAATATGGAGATATGTGATATTATTAATGAAACTGAAGAAGGGTGAGAATTGTGAATGAAAACATTGAGGGCACTGCATTCATTTCCCCTATGTACATTGCTCATCCGTGTACTAAATTTTTATTTTCCTTCCGCAGACCTAAAGATGCCATCAGGGCACTTAGGAAGAGAGTTGTGGGAAACAAGAACTTTCATGAAGTGATGCTGGCCTTAACGGTGAGCACTGCTATTTAAAAAAAAATCTTACATCTTATTGTATGTATCCTTTTATAAGTGAATTCCAGACAGGCATCTCAATATATTTATATGCCCCAAACCTGCAGTGCAGCAGCACAGCTTGATGAAGAACACGCTTCTTTCTGCTGACACTGAGAATTTGTCACTCTGCTCTCCTCTTAGCTGTGGCAGACCCCATGTTATTGCCATATAGGTTTCCACTTCTAAATTGTTTTTATGAATATATAACCTGATTTTTTTTTTTTTTAAATATATGTTTATATAAGCCTAGGTGTTGGCTTGTAAACCTGAAATATAGAAACCATTTTTATGTTTACTTACTAGGAATGTTGCTTGAGGATCTGTTCTTATTTGTTTCTATGGCTAAGCATAGACATAGCAGTTCCTGCAGCATTTTGTGCTCATTATTTTTAGGTTTCCAGTGATTTGAAAAGCTTTGTGTGTTCACAGAGCCCCTCCTCCCTCATCTTGGGTCCCCCCGCCAGTGCTCCTGGACAACCCCCCGCCGAGTGCTCCTAGAGCAGGCTGCTTGCTCTGGTGGCACTCGTGCGTGCTCTGTCCTCAGTTGGCCCTGTATGTCTAGAAGACCGACCCCATCGCCCCCCCCTCCTAACTAGCTGTGATTGACAGCAGTGGGAGTGAATGGTTCCCACTGCTGTCTCTGTCAGTGAGGAGAGAGAGAGACCTGGGAGAGCCAAGGCTCTCCTCTGGACAGTGCTGGATTGCGATCAGGTAAGTATTACAGGGGCTAAGTGGGGAGCTGCACACTGAAGGTTTTTCACCTTACTGCATAGAATACATGAAGATGAAAAACCTTCAGCCTTTAGAACCACTTTAATCCTTTTGTCCATTTATTAAAGTGTTATTAAACCCACAACAGTGGGCTGGACACTGATAGAAGTTACTGCTCTGTCGATGAAAAAAGGTATTCAGCAGTTTTCTGGGAGCTGCATGTAGAAGATTTTTACCTTAATGCACAGAATGCATTAAGGTTAAAAAAAAAAAAAGAAGCTTTTTGCCTTTAGAAACACTTTAAAGCTGACGTTTACTAATAACTTGCCTTCCCCGATTTCTCCTTTTCCACCTGATCAACGTTCTAATGATGATGGGTTTTTTTTTGAAAACCTTTCATTTTTTTATACCTGGTGCCTTTTTTTTTTTTTTTTTTCTTCCTGGGTCTCTTTGCTTTCCTATGCAAAGCAAACAGATCATGGCTAGTGGGAGAGGTCAGCAGGGTGCTGTAGATGGATTCCGGAAAACCTGACTGCTTGCTGCATCAGTACTCTTACAGTAGCTTTCCCTGATGGGTGGATGTCAGTCTGGAAGAGTGGGTATTCCTAAGCAGGCCACACTTGCTTGCAAACTACTTTAGCTAATGCTCATATGTAAGGCTGATTGAAAGAACTGAGTGAAAGGGGCAGGCCAAGAACAGTAAGGCTGGTTTTCTTCAAGTTGGCTAGTCTGGTATTTCAGTTTGTGTGTGTGTGTGTTTTTTTTTTTCCTGCGATGATGGTGGCACTGCTCTGGAGTGTCCCAGGTGGCATCATTCAATGAACTCGCTGTTAAATCCTTTTACATGCTTTTTTTGGAAGTACCACGCACTCGCTGACCCATGTGTAGATTTTTATTTTTTACATTGCTGTGTCTCTAACTTCAGAGTGGGGGTTTTGACTACCGACCTGGACTGCCACTGGGTTGACTTTTGTTCCTTAGGTGTACCTAGCATCCTATCGCTGCAGATGGTACTACATCCAATTATTTAAAACAGATCTGTGTCCTCCAGTGAATGCAAAAGAAAAAGTTTTAATGATGAGGAAGTGTAGATTTCTCTTTCAGGCTTTTATTGACTTTGTTCCCACAAAGCTAATGCTCACTGGTCAAGTGAATGCTGTAACTCCCTCAAGGGATGCAGACATTTAAAAAACGATAGAGGTTTTATCCCTTCCCCACTCTGTTTCAAGCTTTAAAAACATGACTGGAGAAGGGCTTTAAAGCGAACCAGGTCCCAGGTATACTGTACTGTTTCATGTGAAGTGATTGGATGTTAATGTGTGAGCATAACACTTGGGGCTTATTCAACTGGTCTTGTCCTGAGCAAACAAGGAAAAGCCGAACACTTATGACCTTGCTCCATAGGTGTTCATTGCACTTGGCTGACTGACAGTTTTCACCTATGGCCAAGTCCTTGCAACATATTTCACCTGAATGGACTTAATCGTAGCACATGTTTATCTTATACTGAACTTTACAAAATGGCTCAATATTATACTGGCCGACACTGCATACGGTCTCTGTGGTCCTCATTGGGTTTTTATTTTGTTATTGAACTTTCTTTCTGTCCCATTGCGGTCACTCTACAAATAACACTACTAGGTGACTAAAGAGCCGCATAGTTGTGATGGAAACGCATTATGTGAAAACCTGTTCTCTGCAATCCATATCGGCAAGTTTTATAACACCAGACATAAGTGAACATTTCCACTACAACATTTTCCCTTTAATTGGAGTTCTTTGGATTATAAAGTATCTCATACATGAACAAAAATTATAGTGTGACGTTAATATAATAAATGCATAAACAAGAATACAAGTGTATAATAACATAAAATATCTGGTGCAGCCAGCAGTTCGTCCGCTTTCAGTTCAGATGGGCAATGATTAGGCTACACTGATGGACACTGAAGAGGCTAACGGATGTGTACTTATGAGGCTGCACTGATGAGGCGGTACTGTTGGGCACTGATGAGACTGCACTGATGGGCACTGATCCTTTATGGGAGAGTGAATGATATTGCTGTTACCTGTGTCTGGAGGGAACCTGAGAGGAGAGGAGTAAGTGCCACCATTGATGGGATCCAGTGCGGATATTATCCTGTGACGAATCATTAACTGTAAGGATCGTGGTGTGATCCTAAAAGCGGCCCTTGTGGTCACTGTAAGGAGTTGAGGGGGCATTTTGGCCACTTGTTTATGCATTTATTAGTGCCACACAATATATAATTTTTGTTCATATATTTACACCTATTGGGTATAGGTTTCGGTGTGAGCAGCTTAGGGATCATCCATTTAAGCGCAGGAGGATTTGCTATCATTATCTCATACATGCAATTTTCTCAGTCCTGGTCTATAGTTATATACTTATTAACCTTTTTAACACAAAACTCTCTCCTTCAGGCACTTGAGGCATGTGTAAAGAACTGTGGCCACCGGTTTCACATTTTGGTCGCCAGCCAGGAATTTGTTGAGGGTGTGCTTGTGAAAACTATCCTTCCCAAAAACAACCCCCCAACCATAGTTCATGATAAAGTGCTCAACCTCATCCAGGTAAGCTGAAACATCTAATGAAAAGATGTAAATATTCATCCTTTGTAGACACAGCTAGTTCTTTTAAGAGGATTTCACACAGATTTGTGTTGTAATTGTAATCTGCAGAGTGTGTACACTATACATGCTGAACGTGGTTGTAAAAACTGGAGTATCTCCATTCACTTTGATTCGTATGTAGTTTTCTGTCTGTCTTCAGTTTTGCTGAAAAAACCTGCATTAACTTTGCATTGAACCCCAGATATTTGTACTAAAGCCTAAGTGCAGTCAAAAGTAAAAATCAGCACAAAGGACATAATTTGCAGTCAGGATGTGTCCCTTGTGCGGATTCCTCTTATTTTAGTATTTATCCTCCCCTGTCTTTTACCACCAACCCCTGATACTGTTATCTCCTGGTGTTGAGTTAATACAGCTAAGTGCCTGCCACATGCTGTCATCAAGACAGTCCGATTATACCCACCCTTTCCTTCTAGCGTCACCATTTATATAAGCCATACTGCATCTTCATTGGAGAGGAAAGTCCAGCAACCCCAGGTAGTAAAAGTAAATGGCATTTCAGAAGTTAGTCACATTTATATCAGAGTCTGGAAACAGTATATCCATATAGGAGGTTAGAGTGCCACAGCTCTGAGTGAGGAAAAAAATGCATGGCACTTTAGGTCTCCTGCATAATGGACATTTTGAAAGCTGCTCTTAGTGGTGTCTGGCTTTTTTTTTTTTCTTGCTTCTAAACAACCATACACACATGCGTTTTTAGTTGCAGAAAAATAAACCCCACTGCCATCATGTCCAGGAGCAGCAACATTATGGCAGAAAAAACCGTTTAACACATGTGTCCAAATGTATGTTAACGCTGGGCAAATTTTAGCGTTTGAATGTTAATTCATTTCAATGGCCAGAATAAATGACTATTGTGGCCAGTGAAATGAATTAATGCCCAAACTCTTGATGGGCCTAAACACATTACATATGTTTTTTACAAGCAGTTTTTCTGCCAAAGCACCACTGCTAGGAGGAAAGGTGTCTAGGAGAGATGGCCAAAACATCCAGTGTGCATGAGGCCTTAAAGATATTTGTATTTACATCAGAAGTATCTGGAGATATGCAGCCAAGGATCATATTCACACAGAATTCAGATGTCTGAACAAACCCTCCTAGTAACTTATTGATAAAGCAGGGCTCAGGAACTAAGGGGAAAAATTATAGCAAATATTAGCATTCAATCCTTGGCAAATAATTAAATGCTAAGCTTGTTTGGGGGCTCACTGTAAACACATTTTCTCTTACCCTCTTCGTACTCCCGCTGACAAACTCTTCTGCAGTTTTCCAGATTTCAGTGTCTTTCCTCTCAACATTTAGCGTTCTGTCCTTGCTGTATACCCTTACAGCTTTATGCCGCTGCCCCAGCTCCAACAAATGGACTGGCACTTAACATCTGGCTCCAGCATCCTCCTCCACCACCTTATCCCTGACGGGCACTGATCAGAATAAGCGCCATACGCTTGGCAAACTGTATCCCCCCCACTCAAACACTGCCTTCGCCTCCTCTGCTACTGTGCACCGGAGTCCCCAGCATTGCATATCCTAAAAATGTTGGCAAACTAAATACCATGATCTCAGGTGTGTAGCAATTCAAATTCATTGTAAATTACTTCATGATCTGCCATTATACCTTTTACATTTTTATTAGTGAATAATATTAGCGGTTTTTTTACTTTGGCTTTTTTTCTATAACTTCATTTTAATGCTGTATTTGTGAATGTATTCATTGTTGCATGCACTGGCTGCAAAGACTAGATCTGGTCTTTTAAACTTCCAAGTAGTCATTAACAGGTAATTGGAACTTCTCTTGTAATTTGCATTTTGTTAAGGTCTCTAGCTTAACTGAGGGCTGTTTTCATCATGAAAAAAACATGTGATGGCAATTCTAAAGAGAGCTTTCAATGGGAAATTAAGTAATTAAGATGTTTTTGTAATGCTGGTGGAATTAGTGAAATGACCTTTTTATGTTAATAAAAAAAATAGAATTAAAAAACTATTCTGTGTTATGGGCAACACAAAAACCTTTATATTTGCATAGAAAATGTGAAGAAAAGAAAATACAGCCAACCTGGAGATTAGCTTGTTAATTGCTTATTTCTATGTGTAATTTGTGATTACATATGTATATGGGGCAAACACAAAATGTGCTCATTAGATATGCAGGCTTTACTTCTGCTTTGCAACACTGCACAGTGGTCATGAATTACTGCCCCTTTTTTCATTGCAGGTCTATGACACTATTCATATCTCTGTGGTCTGTTGCTTAAATACATATTATATTAAGGTAACTTGTTAATTTGAAAGGAGCAGAAAATGCATCTGTGTTGTTTTTCCTGAACCACACTACTCCTGTCCCCTCCCTCCTGTCAGGTGTCCCCAACAGCAAGCAGCTTGTGTGTACATTCACACACACAGCTGCGTCTCAGCCCTGACCCCTCCCTCTCATGATTGGCTCACTGACTGTGTTTGACATTGGCTCTTGCTGCTGCCTCAGCCAATCAGGAGTGAGAGTCCCTGGAGAACAGAGGCTCTCATGGACATTGCTGGATTGGGATGGGCCTCAGGTAAGTATTACGGGGGGACATGGGGGGGCTGCTACACACAGGTTTTTTTTATCTTCATGCATAGAATGCATGAAGGCAAAAAAACCTTGAGCCTTTAGAACCACTTTAAGTGGATATTGTATAAAATATAGCAGAACTAAACTGTAATTGCACTTCAACTTTTAACCAATTGCATGCAGACCCTGCTGTTTTTAATATTTTTGCCCTTTTACACCTGTGTTTGCCTGAAAGAGCAAGTCCTAACTTGGGGTCTTGGAGCAAAATCCGCAAGTGTCATCTAATGATCCTTTTTATTTGATTGTGTTTTTAAAATGGTATTGGGTAATAAACTGGACATCAGACCTAAACGTAGATTCTGTTTGACTCATCTTTGTGGTGGTCAATAGCCACTCCTGGTAAGTCTTATTGATGAAGGGATCATACCCCTTATCAATAAGTCTGCTTTCAGCACCTGTTCCTGCTGGGCATAATTTGCATTCAGGGTGCAGTTCTTCCTCAACCTGCAGAACTGCCCCTTTGGGATGTTTTGTATCCACTTAGGGTGGTGGCAGCTTTCAAAATGCAAGTAGGAGTTACCTGATAAAGGTTTAAAATGAGTTTTAGATGTAATCTGGCCATCAGCATGGGATAATTCCAAATCCAAGAAGACTAAAGAATCAGGACTCCAAACATGCGTGGAAGAAAGACCCAGCTTATTGTCATTGCAATAACCAACAAAAGAAGCAATGGTGGTTGGTGGGCCGTCCCAGATGACAATCACATTGTCAATATATCTATCAAAATAGATAATGTGTGCTGTGTCAGTTGCTGCCTCTGAAATTGGAGATGAGCCTTACCAGATGTAAGTGTGCTTTTAGAATAAAGTATTGGTTTTATCACATACTAATCCTGTTGTTCTGTTGCTGTTTATTTACATATTGTAAGTGAGATGGATGCCGCCCTAAGAGCTTTTTAGGTTGATGATGTCTAGCAAGGTCTAACAATTCAGACAGGGGCATCTTTGCAGTATGGCTTCAGGTGTAGGAAATTTGTTAAAGTAGATCAGCTTACCTAATCCTCCACTGCTACAATGGTCCACAGCATCCTCTCCCCTATACTGCAGCTGTTCAAGACCCTGACATCAAGACCAATGCAGGGTTCATATCCCTGCATTGGACGTTAAGACGCTGAGGGAAAGTCTACTGCTGGAGTGCAGGGGAGCGTTGGATCAGTTATCAGGTAAATTGAAGTGCTTCTCCTCTCCTCCAGACTAAACAGGCAACTAAAGTAGAAGTTCACCCAAAACTTAACGCTAAACCTACTTGCAGCCACATTCTAAAACGAATCTATCTAGCCCTGTAAAGAAGAAATTGTTAAACATATCTTTTCTGAAGCCGATCCGGTCCGGTCTCCATCGGTGGATGCTGTTTGCAGGAGAGAACTGACAACTGTTGTGAAATGCTTGGGAAGTGATGTCAACCATAGACTTACTATGGGGCTTCTGTTGTCAGCTGCCCCTCCTTCATATGCCTACACATTGAAGCTGCCACTGACAGCTCAGCGTGGGACCGGAGGGAGCGGCTCCAGAGCAGGTATGTATAGCAATTTCTTCTTTACAGGCCTAGATAGATTTGTTTTAGAATGTGGCTGCAAGTAGGTTTAGAATTAGGTTTTGGCTGAACTTCTACTTTAACCCTTGCAGTGCGGTACATCCCCACTACTAGGGATATTTTAATTCTGGAGTTGGGCTTTAACATATCTGTCTGTGCTTGGTGTTGTCCTTGGTCTATGAATAGCAGCCCTGTGTTGTGCATGAGTTTTATGATTTTTATAAGGTACGTACAGTTGCAAGAAAAAGTATGTGAACCCCTTGGGATTACGTGGAGTTTTGCATGAATTGGGCATAAAATGTGCTCTGAACGTCATCTAAGTCACAACAATAGAAGAACAGTCTGCTGAACATAATACTACACAAACATTAGATGTTGCCATGGTTTAATTGCACATAACATGTAAACATTCACAGTGCAGGGAGGAAAAAGTATGTGAGGCCCTAGCTTAATGACTTCTCCCAGAGCTAATTGGAGCCAGGAGTGAGCCAACCTTGACTCCAATCAGTGTGATGATATTGGATGTGTTGCTGACAGCTGTCCTGCCCTTAAAAAACACACACCTGTTTTGGGTTTACTGGTTTCAAGAAGTACTGTGATGTGAACCATGCCTCGCAGAAAAGAGCTCCCAGAAGACCTACGATCAAGAATTGTTGACTTGCATGAAGCTGGAAAGGGTTACAAAAGTATCTCCAAAAGCCTTGATGTTTATGTGTCCACGGTAAGGCAGACTGTCTACAAATGGAGAAAGTTTAGCACTGTTGCTACTCTCCCTAGGCGTGGTCGTCCTGTAAAAATGACTGCA